TTATTCTTCTATATTTTCCTCATTTTGTGTCCAACTTCAGTTTAACACTACGGGTAAGGACGTTCCATTTTAGTACAATTATAGGAGCATGCTGAAACTTTTCCAAGTTACACATCTTCCGTCTTGCACTCTTCAAAAAAGAACATGACATTATAATTCATTCTAATTACAATACATGGCGTGAACTGTAATCGATTGTATAACTCCATATAGTTAAACTAAGCATGTGTCATTAACTTTTTGCAACAATTCTCCCTGTCCTCTGGATAGAACACTCTTATAATATAGTTCAGCACCTGTAATCGCATGTGTTTCTGATTTTGTGTTATGTGCTTTCTCTGAATTTACATAGAGCAAATTTGAATATGATGTTTATAGCGTCAGATGAAATAAAATAACGAAATCATGGGAAATCCTTTCACATTCCTAGCATATATTTGTCTCAAAGCGAAGTTCTACAAGTTCTTTATGTTCTCAGTGTTAGGAAATAATTGTTGGATTAATCCTCAAATATATGCAGAGCACATTATTCATGTTCTGTAATGAATGATACAGGACGAAAAATGGGACCGTATTATAATTATGAAAGCCATGACACTAATGTATACAAAGATTTAGGGCGGCATTGTTAGATATTATACTGACAAATTCTGAACATGTACGTTTAGAAGTGTCCCCATTTATAGTTAGACGGAGCATTCTTTAAATCAGATGCATACTTATACAAGGTCTACGTGGAATATCATGGTAACACATTATGAATAACTCATCTCACACAGTAGCCTTGTTACAGTGAGATATATCTTTGAATTATTATGAGAATTCCTCACTCTAGTGGAGAAAGATTCCTAAGCCACTATGCTTAATTGGAATATTCATTCTAACGGAACTCTCAGGATCAATTTCGTATGGTATGCATATGAACCTTGCCACTCGTACACTTAGATCAAGATGCTGATAATTCTCTAAAACACATTTTAGGGAGAGAATCAGTTTCCTCTTTATGTTTCATAAGATTTGATTATAGGATTATTGAGATAGACAAGTGTAGAGACATTCACTATAAGTAAATGTAGATGCACGTACTCATATTTACGTTAGGACGCTGAAAGAAAATATATTCATAGGCGTCCCGTAGAGGTTATGTTATCAGAGTTCTTCATAAGTTAATCATTCATTTCATACTTTGGTATACAGAAGCCTTCTCTGTAGATGACGCCTGTAGTGGTTTATAACAGCTTAATTAAAGAGTATCTATAAGGTTTTACTGAATATTTTCCCTTTTTTCCATCTCTAATCATTATAGGAGAGTGTTCAATTTACTGTTAGTAACATATGCCAAAGAAATCCACCGTTTCCTTGATTCATAGGTGAAGTTATTATTAAATAAACACAACCCCTATTTATCTTCTGACAGAGAATTCTTCAGGTTCATAACTCTTCCCTTTTTGTTATCATAGAGATCAATCCTCGAATGTGTAGAATCATACATAGGGCGTCAATAGAAAGGGATAACGAGCTATAAAATGAATTTAAAATACAGATATCAGGGATTTCGCCGAATACTTCTGGAAAATAAAAAGGAAAATATGGACTTGTATCCTTAAAATAATTAGTTGTTTTATTTCCCTATGGGTGAAAAATAATTTATTGATAATTCTGTAAATTGACGCTCTACGTCTCCTGCAGATCATCTTCATGCCATGACAGTATGAAGCATAGTATGTAATAATAATGAATCTGATTTTCACGTAAATATTTGTTTAAGGATAGTAAGCATAATCTGTATAATCCCCGATGATCGAAGAATTAAATTGTAATAGATAATTTTAGCCCGAACAAACTATAATGTTTATATATTTGCATTAAACCTAATTAATTTTTCAAATGCTCCCATATCATAACTTTGTCATAGAACTGTTACAATTATGTGGCTAAATGTATATGCAAATATAAGAAATTGCATAAGTATATTCTTTCTTTTGTTACTCAAATGTAACCTCATAATTCTCATTGAAAGATAAGAATCAGAGAATTCATAGTTTTATGCGAAATCGTCCGTGTTCCTAAGAGTGATAATTATTACATGATAAATATTCCTGTCCGTCCTAACTGATACAGTGAAGAATCAGATAATAGCAATGGTGCCTATTGGTAAATCAACAGAACAAGTACAACTCATATTGAATTGAAACATGAGTAATAAGTAACCTTAAAATAAGGCACTACCTTCCAAAAGGGGGGATTCATCCATAAGATATATAACTGGGAGTATAGTTCCAAAGCAGAGAAATTCGCCTTACTAGGTAGATTTCAATCTTCTCCTTCCTTGCATATCGGTATAAACTATTTTATTAGAAGGAATTATACTATACTGTGATACGGCATAGATATATATAAGGACTAGGAACCTACGAATCCTTTATAATAGATGAATATTATTGTAATAATTTTAATAAAAACTTCTCAGAAGTTAATTACTGGATTACAGTCTTTATTATTTCCCTATCATTGGCGTATCATTATGAGAAGATAACATAGGAGATAGTGAAGGAGGCACACGGAGGTTATAGGGGAAAACACCATTTATGCATGAGAATAGAACACAGATATATCTATTCAATAAGATAGGGGGAAGAGTATATTATAAATGAAAGTGGCGACGTTTCCTTTATATTCTTATAATAAGGGAAGTCTTCAGGAGCGAAATCAAGACAGGATACAAAATTCTATCTTGATTCAAGAAGGAGCTTAAATAAATTGAAAGATATATGAGTAAAGGAACCACAATTGTGAATATATGAGTGATTCTCTATATGTTATGTATCCCTGATGTTAACATTCCACCTTCAATGCTGCGAAAGTGTCAAGTTGACTAGTCTATTAGGATACCTATAGAAGTATTGAATAAAATTATTAGATATAGGCTGCTATCGTAGATACAGACAGATTAGAGCTAACGAATAAGCCTTACAGAGAGTAAAAGGAGGGGAAGGGTGTAAGAATGAGTATTATTAAATGGAAGATCAAACCCCCGAATAGGTCCCGCCTTCCGAGAACTTCCCCAAACAAGCGCCAACACGGGTATAGGATTCATGGAGGATAAGTCTCAGTGTGATAAGTTCAGCAATACAATCTCAAAGAGGACCAGGAAGTCAAAGGGGGAATCCGGAAGGACGCAAGCGCTACAACAGAAAACGGAGGACGAAAGGATAGAGAGGACAACAGGAGAAAGAACCAATGACCAGGGAAGGTTACGGAGTGCTCAGTGAAATCAAGAGCAATAGAACCTGAGAAATGGACTCTGGGCTGTGAAAATAACCAAGACCAGGGTAGAAGTATAGAGTGGGACACCACCCCCGTATCTCCAGCTCTGAGGACAGGAGCCTACAGCAGACAGCAGAGCACATAGCAGCCCTAAGACGTAATCAATAGAGCATAAATCCTGAACGTAGAGAGTAAAACCTGAAAACTGACGTCGAAAAGAGAAGCCCCTGAATAGTCGAGCCTAACGCATAGAGGATAAGCCAGGAAGCCTAAATTCTAAATTTTAAGCGTAACCCCTGAACCCTAAGACTAAACATGAAGGATAAAACCGTGGACCGGAATGCCTGAAAGCTGAAGTCTCAGCGTTAGGTCCTAAAGCCAAGCTAAACCGTAGAGCGTAAATCCTAAGGCCCAAATGTGGAAGGCTAAAGCTGAACCATAAACGTAAAAGATGGCAACTATACCGTAAAAACTAAACCATAAAAACTAAGCCCCTGAACCGCTGAAACCTAGATCCTGAAGACGGAACCCTGAAACCTAAACCGTAAATGCAAACCCTAAAGCGTGGACCCTAAAAGTAAAAGCTGAACCCTGAAGAATGAAGCCGAAACCGCAAACTCTGAACCGTAAACAGCGAACCCTTAGCCGCAAACGGCGAACCCTGAACACTAAACCTAAACCCTGAAAGCGTAAACATCAACCTAAAGCATGAAACTCTAAACCCAAAACACTAAAACATGGAACCTAAAGCGTGAAGAGTAACCACTGGAACCTAAACCCTAAAACCTGAATCGTAAACCCGAACTTTAAAAAGAAATCCTAAACTCTAAACACTAAGTCCGGAATCCTAAGACGATCCTTAAATCCTGAAGCCTAAATGCCAAACCCAGAAATTACCCATAGGAAATCAAGCAGCGGACTCACAGCTCGGAGACGAAAGTCCCCAAACCTCACACCCCCAGGGTCAACCCCGAAACTCCTAACTTCACACCCTGAACCCTGGGATCTCCCCCTACACGAAAGTTGCTAAGACCCAGAGCCTCCCCTCCTAATCAATAGCCCGAATCCCGAGATCCCCAATCAAGAATTCCCCATGCTCGATCTCAAGCCACAAAATAACCTCAATGTTTAATCCCGTCACCCCGCCCCGTTTGCATCAGGAACCCTAGATCAAAACCCTCCTTCGAATCCCGGAATTCTAGACAGTACACTTAACTCCTGAACTCTAATCCCCTAATGTAGAACGCTGAAGCATGATTGTAATCCACAACCCCCTTCAATCCAAACATAAATTCACCTCCCCCCGTGGGACCCCTCCTCCCACCTTCCCTGCAGCCTACTCAGCAAGAAGTTTCGATTTCCTTGTTGAGCTTCACAATTCCGAGCCTCCAACTCCTTCCTAGGCCTATCCAATGCTCCGCTTCCGTTCTGTAATGTGGCCATCATTCCCGAATCTAGTTGCATCCCACGCCTTCATTTATGTGTCCACTCCTTCCCGTTGCTCACCTTCCCACCGGATTTCACTTCATCTTACTCTTCGGCCGTATGCGACCTCAGCCAATGGTTCTGAGGCCCTCCATTGTTCGAATGCTCTGTTCAGTTCCCTCTCCTTCCTCCTCCTTGGATTAATTCGGCGCATATAGGCTGTAAAGGCGCCCCCTATGACTAGTCCAGCGATGGATCCCAGCCCTATTCCTAGATAGCTCCCCGGTCGCTGTCCTTCAGCCTCGCCTGTTTGGGCTCCCAACTGCTCCAGGTCCCTCAAATGAGATACTAATTCTTGCTCTTTCCCTTGAACCCTGTCCTTTTCCTAAAAGATTTAACGAGAGATCACTCATTCAACAACTTGTTCTTCACTTCCACTTCTATTCGCCTAATTCTTGTGAAACTTCCTTCCTCACAGTAACCTCTCCTCAGGAAGTTCTCTTTCGATGATACTCACAATAATCGGACTATCCCCCCTTCTTCCTATAAAATTCTCTTCTCCCTATAATTCAGATTCTTTCAAACTTTAACAACTGTTTCTTACCTGCCTCAGTTCTTCATCCATCTGATCACCTGTACACACTTCACAATCTTCTCCCTGTATCCAGATACATGAA